ACCTAAGGATCTACCTTTAGGCGTGGATTTTTAAAAACAATTTTTAAGAGTCTACCTTTAGGCGTGGATTTTTAAATACATTTTTTAAGAGTCTACCTTTAGGCGTGGATTTTTAAATAAAATTTTTAAGAGTCTACCTTTAGCCGTGAATTTTTAAATACATTTTTTAAGAGTCTACTTTAGGCGTGAATTTTTAAATACATTTTTTAAGAGTCTAGCTTTAGGCGTGGATTTTTAAATAAAATTTTTAAGGGTCTAGCTTTAGGCCTGGATTTTTAAATACAATTTTAAGGGTGTACCTTTTGGCGTCGATTTTTAAATACAATTTTTAGGGGTCTACCTTTAGGCGTGGATTTAAAAAAAATATAAAGTACTGAAATAAAAATAAAAACCACACATAAACAGATTTTAAAATCTTTATTATATTTTTTTCTTGTATAAATATTCGTACAAAAAATGTATGTTTGTATAAAAAAATAACCATAAATCCAATTTATATACAAAAAAGATGTATAATAAGTAAAAAAATAACAATTCATGATTTTAAAAATAAGTGAGGTTAGAGCAGCGAATTGGAATGGATCGAGTGAGAGACATGTGTTCCCAACGGAGAAAGGAAATTTATTTTACAAAACAAATTGGCAATGGAAAAATCTCAATTTAATTATTTTCATGATGGGGTTTCTAATTTAAATTCGATGTGAGTCCTAGTGATCTTTTTTTGAAAATTTGTACAATAATGAAATTTTTTGTCTTAATATCAAACCAGAGATTTGATTACTTATTATTATTGTTGTTATTGTTATTATTATTGTTTAAACCATTATTACCATGCCATTTATATGAACCATAATATAAGAAATTACTTTCATGTAATTTACGATCCGCCTCTTTGGGGCCACGTGATCCATAAACATAGGGTATTGGTTTAATTTTCTCATCCTCGATTTGATGTAGTATCGGTGTGAAAATACGCCAAGCTTCGCGCAACTCATCGGATCGCACAAAGTGCATCTGCGAGCCACAGAACACATCCAAGATCAGACGTTCATAGGCATCGGGTAAGTAGGAATCTCGGTAACGCTGTTCATACGTCAAATCCAGCTCCGTTTCTTCAATATCGAAAGTGATACCCGGCGATTTGGTCATCATTTTAAAGTACAACGCCTCACCGGGTTGGACACGTATAACCAGTTCATTACGTTTGGCACTACCCTCGAATATGTCACCGGGTACATCTTGATATTGTATACGAACCTCAGCCTTACGTTCATTCAATGCTTTGCCGCAACGCAATATGAACGGTACACCCTGCCAACGTTCATTGTTGATGTGCAACACTCCCAAAGCATAGGTGGGTGTGGTAGATTCCGGATTAACTGTTGGATCATCTAAATAACCCAATTTTGCTTCACCCGTTCCCTCGGGATTACCAATATATTGACCCAAAACCATATCATCCAGCGTCAATGCTCGTATACTTTTCAACACTTTAACCTTCTCATCACGTATATCATCCGGATGACAGCTAACCGGTTTCTCCATGGCCACCAGGGATAGAATTTGCAACAAATGATTTTGCATAACATCACGAATAATACCGAATTGATCGAAATAGCCACCACGTCCCTCCGTGCCAAATGGCTCCTTAAATGTTATCAACACGGAGGCAATATTTTCACGATTCCACGTTGAACCCAATATCTTATTACCGAAACGTATGGTCATTAGATTTTGTACCATTTCTTTGCCCAAATAATGATCGATACGATAAATTTGTTCTTCGTGGAAAAGTGACGCCAAATGATCGCTAAGCTCTTTCGAGGAGATGTCATCACGGCCGAAGGGTTTTTCGATAATTACACGATTCCAGCCTCTGAAAAAAAGGAAGAAAGAATATAAATTAATATTAAATCGATACGATAAGGTTTCCAGTAAACAAATGTATAAAATAAATCCCATAATAAGAAAAACTTGATTACTACTTGGAAAAAAATTAAAAAAATGTACGCCTTGATTAGTCTGGGTTTATACATGCAACTTTTGTAATACGGTCATTTGGGCGCCATTCATTGCAAGTTGAGGATCGGGACATTAAGCAGCCTATCATCACCCTACTATCCTTCCATGGAATGTCCCAATAAAATTTTATCTACATAGGAAAGTTCCAATCACCTTGGCAAAGTTCCAATCACCTTGAAATTATTTTAATACGACCTTTGTCATTTTGGGCGCCATTCATTGTAATTCGAGGAACGTGCGTGTCTCGGAAGTAGGTGTTACGTATCCAAAATTATGAGACATTAAGCAGCCTAACAACATCCTAGTCTCCTTTTAAAGATTACCACAATTTTATCATTTGGGCGCCATACATTTGGGATTGCTTTATGGCTTTTCAATGAATATTCATTATTCTGATTAACTGATAGGGTGATGGTGGATGATCACACTAACTTATTACAGTCAGTGAAAACTGAAGATAATGGGATAGTATGCTCACCATCCTTAAGGGCATTGTCCCCGCCGACCAATACTGACTAAATGGCTGTTCCCCAAAAACAAAACAAATAGTATGGAAAGTAAGAATATAGATAAAGTTACGGTGGAGAGTCTAAATTATTCAGTACCGGCGGGTGCCATTCATCTGCCGACGAATTACGCCCCGTCGTTATCCTGCGATCGTGAGCAAACATCTTCTACAGAGGTGGGTCCCTTGGCACCTGTAGGACCAAAGGGGAAGAGCAACTAACCTCCACCCAAACTTCTGAAACAGGAGTGGACTCAAATTCTTAGTCTGAACATGAAGACATGACAAATACAACCGTTCAACCGAAAACCGAAGGAGCGTAGAGGCTGATATGAAAGTTGAGGAAATGAGCAAGAAGATCGCCAAGCTCATCTCAAGCGAGAAGCAGTTATCTGGGGCACAAATACGAAAAATCGCCGCAATAACCGAAGGAACAAAATTAGGAACAGGAAGCTAATGCTCAAAAGGATAAACCTGACTTCATTGGAAGTGGTGAAGAGGATTAGGTCTCCGGAAGAGGAGACGAACGTAAAATCCGTAGAAAAAGAGCTTCCCATCAACTGATAGCAAGAGAATGCATAGACAATACAAATCAAAGGAGACTGTCAAAAGCCATTAACTGAGGGTAACGATTCCGGTTCTAATATCAATAAAAAGAGCGCAGCATCTGATTTTTACTCCAAAATTATTAAACAGAAATCACGAAAGAGGAAAACAGCGGCAAGGAATGGCAAGGAGCCGCCATTTTATGCAAAGGTTAGCAGGAGGCACAACAGAGACGAGTTATGGTATGCAGTGATCGACAAAATCAGTGCGTCTGGAAAACTAAAAAGGAAGACCTTTAAGGAGGTGAAAGATGCGGTCAGCAATGAGAGAAAAATGGGCCTTTCTCAATTAAAAAAGGCAACGGTGTTCGTCAGGGGTTGGGGGAGCGAGTTCATAACAGAACGCATGTTCGAAGTCTTTGCTCTACAAAACAAGACACTGTTGGTGATGAAATCATAAATTTGTCTGTTGGGCGCCATTTTTGTTGGCAATGTGAAGCGAGATTAATAGAATACGCAATATATTTTTTTAAGGCTCCAGCATGTCTTTGTGGCAATCGTAGTCATCGTTTATGGTATTGGATGCTGTCAGTTTTTTAGAAAATTGCTAACGATAATCAGCCGTACTTCGATGGAATGTCGTTTATAAAGTTTTGAGTAAACAAAATGAAGTGACATTCTGGCATTATTGAAGTGTACTCATAAAGATGATCGTACATTTTTTTAAAATTTCAATTGGGCGCCATTTTTGTTGGCTTTGCGAAGCCAAGTTTATAGAATATGCAATTGTTGTCCGACAACATAACGAGCTTGTTTTCAAAGCATTTTAGAATAATGCTGACACATGTCTTTTTTGGAATCGTAGCCGCTTATGGTATTGGTAGTCAGCGTTCAAGGCAAATTCTGACGATAATCGGCAATATTTTTGTCCTCCGTCTAAAATGTTTTCAGGAAATAACATGAATGAACATTCCGGCATTATTGTGGTGTACTCAATAATAATATGATCATAAATTAGTCAGTGGATGGTCAGCGAAAATTTCCGATGATCGGCTATTTTTTTTTTTTTGCAATGCGGTGTTTGTAGAATACGCAATTATTGTCCCACAGCATAACGAACAAGTCTTCGAAGTATTTCATTATGGTATTGGATGCAGTCACGACATTATGGTATTGGATGCAGTCAGATTTCAAGCAAATTTCTTACGATATCGATCTTTGAAAATATTTTCATATCTGGGATCATTGCAGTCTCCTCGTTAAGATCATCATAAACTTTTAAATTTCAGTTGGGCGCCATTTTTGTTTTCTTCGTGAAGCGAGGTTTGTAGGACACTGTTGCTGATTAAATCATAAATTTGTCTGTTGGGCGCCATTTTTTTGGCAATCCGAAGCGAAATTTATAAAATATGCAATATTTTTGTAATTGTGTCGATGGAATGTCGTTTATAAAGTTTTCAGGAAACAAGATGAAGGGCCATTCTCGCATCATTTTGGTGTACTCAATAATGAGCATGTATTGGAAGTATTTTCGTATAATGTTGCAATATGTCATTATTGCAATCGTAGCCGATTATAATATTGGATGCAGTCAGATTTCAAGAAAATTTCTAACGATGATCGGCTATCCGTGGATGGAATGTAGTGTGGAGTATTTTCCGGATGGCAAAAGAAGGAAAATGCCTGAAATCCTTTATTTCTTAATGAATATTATGATAAATTTGTCAGTTGGGCGCCATTTTTGTTTGAAATGCGAAGCGAGGTTAGACGATTTTTGTCTTGAGATATTTTAAACAAATTGGCATGATAAAAATGCCAAAAAAAAAATCACAATTCGCATTTATACACAATCCCATTCGTCATGGTCTACTAGGGCTTGACCACCCACCCCCTTATGCACACCGTGCTATAATTAAACAACTACTTACTTCTTTGATAGACATATCTCTTTCACCTGTACCGTGACGGTGTTGAATACAGACGGCGGTAAGGCCAAATAAAATATACGATTAGCAATGCCCTTATTTTCCATGGCCTCCATTTGTTGCTGCAGCATTTCATAACCCAAACGTCCATCATAATTACCCGAAACGTATTCATTCAAACGCCAAAACTCTTCGTATAGTTTTTGTTCGTGTGGTTGGACCTAAACACAAAAGAAAATAAAGAAACGAAATGAGTAAATAAATACGTTTTTGTTTGTAAATAGAAATAATAACATGGTCATCTAAGTTGGTCTGCAGGTGTGGGGAGGTTATTATTTTAAAGTTTGTCTCAGATCTATGAATGAAATAATTCACGTTCATTTTTTAATTTGAGAGAATGTTAAATAATTAAGACAGACTGTTTCAATTTTACCAACGAGTAAACCCAAAACCGAAGGCTTTGGTGCAGGCACATCCTCCTGTGAAGATGAAGAAAGAAACCTGGTGACAGACACAGACATGGAGTTGAGGATGTGGAAGGAGCATTTGGAAAAGCTTCTGGTATAAAATAGTGGCGGTGAAGAAGATACCCCAGAACAAATGAGAGATGACAGTATAAAGTGTATACCACCTAGACAAGATGTGGTCAGAATAGCAATCAATCGGTTGAAGAATAATAAAGCAGCAGGTGCTGATGGATGTCAGCAGCATACTCCAGCTGATTAATACAATTTGGCTAGAGGACTGCATACCCAATGATTGCATCCTCAGCATCCTGGGATATGTGTGCCAACTATAGATGAATTAGTCTCCTTCCCATCGCATATAAAGTGCTATACAGCATGCTGTGTGAACGAATGAAGACAATCGTTAATGATATATACAAGGTGACAGTTTGTCGTGTGACCTGTTTAACATCCTGTCATACGAGACGCCATACGAGACGCAAAGGTGAACAGAAATGGTTCTCTGTACCAAAAAGTACACATGTAACTCGCCTATAACATCGATATAATGGGTCGAACATTGCGAGCGGTAACAGCCACCTTTGAACATATTGAGAAGGAGCACGCCAAAGTGGGTCTGGCGTAAATGGCGGGAAGACTAGGCTTATGGTATCAACGCGCAAGACGTCCCGTAGACTCGGACCAACTGTGAAACTTGAAAACTACAGCTTTGAGGTAGTCAAAAATTGTACCGCCATAGATAAAACTAATGACATCAGTTTTGAAATTCGTGGAAAGATAGTGTTGGCCAACAAATGCTACTATAGCCTAAGTAAGCATCACCTCCCTCCGCCAGACCAAATTCACACTCTACAAGACGCTGATACTACGCGTGCTGTTATAGGGATCTGAAGCATGGGTACTTGCGCAAACAGATGAGGCAGTACTTAGAGTGTTTGAGAGAACAATTGTCCAAAAGATCTATGGGCCGATCTGCGTTGACGGTGAATATCGCCGTCGAATGAACCATGAGTTATACCATCTATTCTCGGACATCGGCATTGGCAATGAAGACGATGAGTCTATGGTCTGAAGATGATTAGGTCAACAGAGAAACAGCAGCCGACAAAGATTATGCGGACTTTTCAACTTCCGGTCTGAATTGAATTTATCGGTAGAGGACAAAAAGGAAATTGGAGAGGATAATACGATGATGACGAAAATCGGTGGAAGCTTCGATGTTTTGAAGACAACATCGAAGTCAACATCAAATGAACAGAAAAGCACCGGAGACTATTTTCAGCGGCATTTGAGGCACTGTATTCCCCGTCAAGATTTCTACCAAGGATATCCACTATAGAGCAATACTATATATGAGCAGGAAGAGAGCTAGCAGAAGACACAACGACTTTAGTCTGAGGAAAAATCCCAGCTCCCTAGAGAGACCAACATCTCCCTAAAGTCTATGGCAAGCAAGAAGATGAGATCGACAGAAGAACCGCTTCCGACCAAGAAGATGATGCGGACTTTTCAACTTCCTGTCTTGTATGGATCGATAGAGGCCAAGAAGAAAAGTGTGAAAGTTACCAGCGGAATGAAGAAAGTCAGATCAAATGTTAAGTCTTCGCAGGAACCTTTGGATCCAACATCAACATTTGTTGAAGCCACAACTCGTCGGATGGTCCCAAATGAACAAAGAAGTACCATTGACTATATACGGCGGGAGTTAAGGCAATCAGGTCGCGCACGATAATTTCAGAGTCCTTAATCATTTTTTGGTTGGGGGTATATTGAATTAAATGGGAATGAAACAGCTGATGGGGTGGCTCGAGGGGCTTCACAGTCGACCGATCTGCAGATTCGGAGATCTCCTACTGCATTGGCGAAGTGTGTAAAATCCACATCGAGAAAGCCGGCAGCAGATTGGCCTGCTTGCAGAACTTCAAAATCCATCTAGCCTGAGATTTCAAGACTACCTCACAGCTGTCGATAAGGAAAATAATCAAATTTTAATGTTGGGATCATTGAAGATTTCTTCAAGATCGGGACATCATAGAAATAGACTCCAATAAAGAACTTAGCAATGTTCGGATCATTACAGATCTCTTCAGGATCGGGACATCATAGAAATAAACACTATTAAAAAACTTTGCCAAAAATCTGTCATGGTTAAGCTATGATAATATCTTTCTCCATTCCCCTTCTCGCCCGATCTTCAGATTGAGGGATCTGTAAGACCATTATCGAAATCCGTAAAATCTACAGCGAGAAAGCCGGCAACAAATTGTTTAAGGAGCCTCTGCGAAGAACTTAAAATTTGTTGAAGGATGTTATCTTGCTCTGCTTTGTGGATTGAGTGAAACGACACTTGTGCTCGGGTCGGCGGCTTCATTGAGAGTAAACTATGTACAACTTACGCACTGGACAAGAACATTTAAAACTAAAAATATATATAAGTCTGGGTGTGGGTCACACTAATCGCAATTATTCGATGCATGTATGTTGGGTGTTCGAAGTTGGTAACGCAAATATTCAATAATTAAAAATAAAAATCCATCTGATCTGAGATTTCACGACGTAGAACTATGTACCTCAGTGCTGTCTACCTCACTAAGCTAAGCTGTTCCTTTATTCCCCTCCTTCTTCGTTTTTCTCTTTTTCAGGAACACTGGATGAGCTCAATGGAACAGCTGCAAAGTTACTGTTGGTTGGACTTTTAAAACTTCTGCTAAGCGCTTTGACATCGAAGATATCAACATGGAACTTTCTGTCGAAGTTGTTTGGTTCACATCAGGGACTGTCGTGGCGTTCGAAGCTGTTTAGGAACTACATATATGTTATGAGTTGGAAGTCCGTAAAGCGGACATTCAATAATTACAGTAAAAATCCATCTGGCCTGAGATTTCACGACGTAGAACTATTTACCTCACTGCTGTCTACCCCACTAAGCTAATCTGTTCCTTTATTCCCCTCCTTCTTCGTTTTCTCATTTTCAGTAACACAGAATGAGCTCAATGGAGCAACTGCTAAGTAACTGTTGGCTGGATTTTTTAATCTAACCTATCATTGACAACGCTGATCCTGAAGGGAGTGTAAAGGAGAGTCATTGGTAGCTACTCGATCATTATAGGCCATTTTATTTGAGGTCGAGGTTGATCACCAAAGGCTAAAGTTCTCACTTCCGCCTTTTATTCGAACCAAAGCTGCAGTATCTAAGGTTGGTGCAGATAAGTCTGTACCAATGTCAGGTAACCTCTGCAGAGCAATTCCTCATATAAATAATGGAAATTAGGAGAATATCCAATCATCCATGTTTTCCTTCTCTTAAATTCGCACACAATGTTTGCTAATATTTCCGCATAAAATAATCGACACCTACCTTCATAAATTTCTCACAGGCTTTACGAATATCCCCGCATGTTATTTTCGAACGAGCATAGCCACAAAATTTTGTTGGTTTCGGCAGCAAGTTATCACGATATAGCCACCACAGAGTTGGATAGATTTTCTTTTTGGCCAAATCACCCGATGCACCAAATATGACAAAGGTGTGCGGAATTTGCCCATCAAAATGTGTACCCTCACACACCATTGTGGGCGATTTTAAGGCTTTTATAATTCGATCCAGGGTATGTTCGTGATTATCCAGATCGTGACCTATTGACATAGAAACGAAAAGAGAGAAACAAAAACGAAAAGAAAATAAGCGATAAAATATAGGAGAAATTGCAAACATCAAATAATGACAATACTAATGTTAATCCAATTATCTTTAACCTTGAACTTTGTGCAAATTTTGTTGTTGCTGTTTTCGATTCTTCTTTTTTCTCCGTTCCGTTAGCGTTCCTTTTAATGTTGTTAGCGATCTACGTTGCCGTTTTGTTGTTATTTTGATCGTCTTTTTGTCTATATCATACGAGATTGCAGGGCTTACTAAAAACTCGTCTTAGCATGACTTGGAAATATATAAAGGTTTTTTGTTTTGTTATTTTTATTTTTTTTTATTTGTCATTTGTCTCTTTTTGATCGGATACCCCGCGACTGTCTCTGCGTCACTTAAAAAAATGGGAGAAATTGCATTGCATTTTGTTGAGTGCAAACTTAGGTAAAATACATACCCACAAATGGCATGACAATTAATTCAAGTATCTAAACACTTGTTAAAGGTTCCGTGCATCTAAAATGCAACTACATATATATTCAAGCGGCGGCAAATAACGTAAATATGAGTAATAAGCATATAAATTAGTAGTACAGGGTGTCCCGGCATTAAAATGCAATTTAGTTTATTTAATAATTAGCCTCTGTAGTATATTACCCACATAAACTAGATTTGTTTTAGTAAAATACGCAATTTATATTGTCAGTTTCCCTCCAGTATATGTCAAACAGTGACGTATTTTTGTAAGTGAGTATGGCGAATATGAACAATTTCGATTAATAGAAAATCAAGCAAATGTTAACCCTTTGAGCCCCGAATTTTTTTCCGCAATGTTAGGAAAAATTTCTGTTCACAGATTTAATGCAACTATCCTAAATAGGATATGCACAAAATTTGACATCGCTATATCCTTGCTTTCGGGAGATACAGTACATTCTTTCGGAAAAATTAAAGTCCAATATCAAGAAAACTAAATGCAAAATCGACATAAAAATCATTTTAAATTATTCTCTATATTCATTTTTACAAGAATCAAAAATAATTCCGATGGCAGAACTCATACAATTTGAATACGAAGCGATTTAAATAATTTGGACTGTATACACAAATTAGTACTGTACATAAATTTACCCTCTTCTCTATGTTGAAAAGCTCATAACTTTACCAAAATTTTGAATTTTTTGGATTTTTCTTTTGATATATGTCGTCCATAATCACGTCTTGACATATGAAATCCAAATAATATATATCTACTAGCTGCATATTAAATATAAGCTCTAAAACATTTTGTTGCTTGTGGGCAACATTGGGCCACAAAGGGTTAAGTACAATATTTAATTTGTGTTATAAACTTGGCAATCCCCCAAACTGCCAAATTTTTTATTTACGTTTTCACACGATGAAGTCAAAATTGAAAGCAATTTGACAGCTCGGGTGAAATCATCTGGCTTTATTGGACGACTTCATTATTGGGCCACGGAAAACAGTTATTGGTGTACTGTTTCTTGTATAAATGTCATATTGAACTGTCAAATTATAAATAAATGAATACTGTACATATCGTGTTTCGTTCGTTAACCCAGTGGGTTTAAATTTAATTAAATTAAATTCCATTGCATATATGTCAATATAAATCCTCACAATTATAAATTGTGCTTGTGTTTTTTTATTTAAAGGCGAAAAAATTTGTTTTCGCCTCGGCAAAAACATGACTTTAAACTTAAGTTTTCTCGCTTACTGGCCGATCTTATATAGGCCTTGGTCCCGACCATGGTACAATAAATAGGTAGTCCATTTAGCGAAGCTGATGTCTCAATTTACTGTCAAAATGTATAATTTATACTTGAATTCGATCTCCAATGTTGTCAAACATGTAAAATATTATAAGTAAACAATTGACAGATGGTCGAGTCAAAAACAAGAGTATTTGTTTTGATACATCACCTTATTATTGCATCATGGTCCCGACCATGGCACAATAAAATTAACGAAGACACCTAAGAAACGGAATATGAAAAAGGTGATAAGAAAAATATTAGAAAAATACAATTTTGGAAAAAAACAATTGTTTCAGAGGGTCAATTTATGCTTAAGGCAAAGTCGAAGGTTTATTTTAACAATTTAGGTCATGTCGAAGGACCAAATTCATGGAAGAACACGAGAAGTAGTACACCATAGGTCATATGAGTGAATGTAGAAGGATAATTTTGTTGTTAGTAAATTAAGTCAAAGGGCCATAATAGCCGAAAAAAAACTTAATTACCCAAGCCTGAGTCGAAAACTAAACCTCAGCGAAGAAAATTTGCGAGATTAGTGTACTAACAATTTTAGCCATTTATATCAAGTCGAAGGACCAAATCATTTGAAAAATCAATTACAGAGCCTGGCGAAGGCGCTTAAACTCTCATTCAGGGAGATCTATGCTGAGATTGATATGCTAGGCCATATGAACTTATAACGAATCAAAATTTTAAATTCTTCAGGCAGTTTACGATCCAGAATAACTCGAATTACCAAAAATTATTAGAAAACTCAATTATTGAAGTCTGCTCATGGTTCATTCGACGGCGATATTCACTGTCGACGCAGATCAGAGCTGTCTCATCTGCTTGCGCAAATACCCATGTTTCAGATCCACACAACAACACGGGTAGTATCAGCGTCTTGTAGTGTGAGTTTGGTCTGGCGAGAGGTGGCCTTGTTCTTGAATTGCTAACTCAGACCATAGTAGCATCTGTTGGGCAACATTATTCTTCTCCTGATTTCTCGCCATTTACTGCAACTTTGGCAGATTCCTTCTCAATTCGTTTAAAAGTGGATGTTATAGCTGGCAATGTTCGGCCAATTATGTCGATGTCGATATCATACATGTGTTGTTTGGTGTACGATGCCATTTTGTTTGGTGACCTTACAAGATGTTAAAAAGGTCACACAACAAACTGTCACCTTGTCTGAATCCTCGTTCGGTATTTAAGGTCCTTTCCGACTTTAACTGCCGACCTTTTACCAGTTAAAGTTATACTGCATATCCGTATTTATTTTCAAATGCAGCTTTGTAGTCAAATGCATCTTTGTAGTTGTAGGTGGAATGTGTCGATGTATTTTTCGTATGTCTTTTCCAGGATTTGGTGCACTGTGAAAATCTGGTCCATGGTGGATTTTGCCAAATTTGAAGTCGCATTGGTATAATGGATAAACACTTTATATGCGGTGGGAAGGAGACTAATTCCCCTATAGTTGGCACATATCTTCTTCCTTGTTTGTGCACGAGACACAGGATGCTGAGGTTTCAATCATTGAACATGTATTCCTCTAGCCAAATTTTACTAATCACTTGGTGCATGCTCCTGATCAGTGTCTGACAACCGACCTTGAATAGTTCGGCTGGTAATCCATCGGCATCTACTGCTTTATTATTCTTCAGCCGATTAATTTCTATTCTGATCTTAACTTGGCTATGCACTATATACCGTCATCTATAATTGGTTCTGTGGCATCTTCTTCACCGTTACTATATTACTAGCAGAAGCTTTGCAAATTGCAGCTTTTCAACGTCGAGTTTCCGTTTAACAGCCGACTGAATATTGGGACGACGTTATATTTTGTGATTATCAAAAGGTTTCAGACAACGTGTATACTGTCTCCTCTACTTTTCAATATATATTCCGGAAAAAATATTTCAAGAATCGATAGGAGTTCAAAGAGAGAGATATGTGTGAATAGGTCCTTTCTTAATATCATTATATATGCTGAGAGCATGCCAGGACTTCAGCATCTATTCAATAGATTGGCAGTACAAAGCGAACTGTATGGCTTACGAATAAATATTAAAAAGCAAAGTATATAAATATTGGAAAGGAGAACATTCGATACCTATGGTCCTTAAAATCGTTTCATACAAAGAAATTGGAGGCTTTTGATATGTGGACTTACAGGCGTATACTTAAAATATCATGGACATTCTTTATGTCAAAAAGTGAAGTACTATTAAGAATACACCACGATAAAGTACAGACTACTTCAAAACATAATTCGTATAAAAATTGATGGAAGGCCTACCGCAGGAAGAAAAAAAAAAAACGATCTCGATAAATGTCATACAAGAATAAACCGAAATTCGAGATGTTAACAGCCTTCGAAGCGAATGCAGAAACAGAGAAACTTTTGCAGAGATAACAAAACATATTTTTTAAATTAATAATGAAACATTGTATTTATATGTTATTGCATTGTTCGCCAAAATTCGAAAGGCGAGTAGGAAAATAAAGAAGAAGTAAAGAGTACCTATATATAAAAATTGCATCTCCAATATCAGCAATTTTTTAAAAAAATATTCCTTGCAAAACTTCACACGTGTAATTTAATTTTCTTTTGCTGATTTGATATATGGTTTTTTCCATGTAAATTTTTCTTCCTTAAAATATATCGAATGATCTCGGCCAGATGATCTTTAATTCATTTGGCGTCATAAATAGTTTAATTTTTATTTCTCTCCAAGCAACCGCTCATTATATTCATGCAATTTTTTTCCCTCGAACTTCAGGTGTTTCATATTAATTTAGAGTACATTATTTTTTGGTTCACCCTTTATTTTCCTTTGAATAAATGAAAGCGAACAAAATTCAGCAAAATTATTTAATTAAAAAATAATTAGATTTTTTATTAAAACTGATATAATTTTCTAATAGAGAAATGAAATAGATAAAATTAAATTAACACATATCGACGTGTAAGCATCAAAAAAATAAAACAAAAATGTGAAACTATTTTGTTAAAACTTATACTAGTAGTTTCCTGGAGTTACTGGAATATAGATTAAAGCTTGTGCCCTTAGCTAATATTCCTATTTGGCTACTGAGCTACTACTTAAAGATCAATATCATTCAAGTCTTTGTAGCTATGTTCAATATAATTTATGAGTACCAATTGTATTTCAATCTAACACACTAAGTACCATATTTTAACGCTCACTATAGCCTCCTATTCAGTTACTCAA